CACAGTTCGATTCCCGGTCAGGGCACAGGCCCTGGTTGTGGGCTCGATCCCCAGTGTGGCACATGGGCACGTGGTGGCAGCCGATCCATGATTGCCTCTCATCATTGATGTTTCTTTCTCTCTCCTTCTCCCTTCCTCTCTGAAATCAATAAAATATATATTTTTTAAAAATGCCACTTCTTCACCCAGCAGCTTCACTTTGAGGGATCTCCCTAAAGACCATCTATCATGAGGCAAAATACAGGGGATATTAACACAAAAATGCCCTCACAGCATTTAGGATTCTAAGGACCCCCCTCCTACCCCCAGGCAGCCGCACCAGGCGGGGGGCAGCTAAGAGCCAAGGAATGTTGCAGCCGCCACTCACGTGGGCGGAATTCTGAGTTACAGTCCCAGTGTTCATCCGTGAAAGGGTTCAAAGTGGCCTAAACAGCAAGGGTGCAAACGCGATAGAAACACACACACACACACACACACACACACACACACACACACACACGGCATTACCAGATGTGCACAAAATATACCACGTTCCATGATGGCTGGCTGAGTGCTGGAATTCATAGCACTTTTAAGTATATACACTCCTCTGTGTTTTCCCAAGTCTTTGACAATCAGCATTGACAAATAAAGGGAAATGAATGGCTGGCTGAGTGCTGGAATTCATAGCACTTTTAAGTATATACACTCCTCTGTGTTTTCCCAAGTCTTTGACAATCAGCATTGACAAATAAAGGGAAATGAATCCTTTTCAAAGACCATGTTTAAACCGAGTGGATGCATATGATGTTGATTGACAAGGAGGGCGGTCAGGGGGCAGCGGAGGAGGGAGCCCTCTTATGCTTGTACCTAATTTTGTTCCAGCCTGGGGGGGGCCTTTTCAAAAATAAATAAGCAAAGATTTTTTACAAGGAAATTACCCAAGGCGCTGAGCACGCCTGAGGGGAGCCAGGTAAGTAGCTTCCTTTCCCAAAGCCACTGCCAGCCACCCAGGTCCCGGCTTGTCATGGGCGATGGCTCAGCACGGCATGGGGCCTCGAGCCCCAGGGTCAGGGGTGGGGCCCTCTCCTCCCCACGCTGTTTCCCAGGGGAAAGGCAGCGCTGAGGGCAGGAGGGGAGACTCGTCAGCGATGGTGGCTGCTCCTGGTCCGGCTGAGCTAAGGCTGCGTCCTGCGTCCCTCCCAGCCCGGTGTCCTCTGGTCCCTGCGCTGTGCGGGCTCGGGGCTGCAGGCTCTCCGCCAGGGATCCGCTCAGCACAGAGAGATTCTCTGGGCCCCGTTTTATTCTCTTTCGCCCCCCGCCCCCCGCAGGCCTCCCCAGGTTAGGCCCCCGCCCGAGCCTAGTCGCCGTACTGCACTGAGGTCCTCAGCTCCTTGGTGACGTAGCCCTCGAGCAGCTTCAGCAGCCGCTTCTGCAGGTCCTTGTTGCCCTTGACCAGCTCGGTCAGGTGCTCGACGTCTGTCCACTGCAGGTTCCCGATGATGACCGAGACCTGGTGGCAGAGCTTCTCCTGCTCAGCAGGCGGCAGCTCCTTGAGGATCTGACTGACCGACTTAAACTGCCCCCAGTGCATCCAGAACGCTAAGAGCCCCCCGACAGCACTCCCTGGGGGACAGGAGGTTGGGTTAGTGGGGTGTTCACAGTGCCGGCTGGGAGCTCGCTGGGAGCTGGTCACAGGATTCAGGTGGCAGCCCAGGGCTCGGGCCCCAGCCCATGATTCAGGCCAGTTTGTGGTCTGGGTCACAGCTCCTGGCTCAGATCCAGCCTGTGGTCCAGGTCACAACTGGTGGTCAATGTCATGGCCCGTGGGGGGGGTCACAGCCCGTGGTGGGGTCCCCCGGGAACCTCCTGCTCCCTGACTAGAGGGAGCAACTCACCCGACCTCCAAGGACCATGGGAAGCAGCCCAACCTCCCCCATTGGCAGAAATTGGTCCCCAGACGGGAGCCGGGTGAGACCAGGGGCAGGTGCATGTGGGCGACCGTGGGCGCTTCTCCTGCACAGACTGGGGACTGGGGACCGGGGTGGGGCCGGGCGCTCTCTGAGCAGCCAGAGGCCTGGAATCCCAGCTCCCTCCTGACCCTGCAATGAAGACAGGAACAGGCCTGCCCAGGGGGCACAGGGCACACCCCGGGGCAGGGCGCCTTCCAGTCTGCAGGCAGGAGCCACAGGAGGGCGCCCTGTGCTTCTGAGACACAGACACGTGTGTCCCAACGGACACGTCTGTGCACAAAGGCCAAGTCTCAGACTCAGTTCCCCAGCCCCTCACGCGGGTCGCAGGCTCCTGTGCGGCCCCTGGGGAGCGGCGGCCTCTGTCCCCCACCCCGTGGGGCACTGCACTCACCAACGGCCAGTCCCAGAGGGCCCCCGACCAGGCCCCCGAGTAAGGCCATGGCGCCGGTGACCAGGGCGCCCCGCCCTGCATGCTTGAAGGTCGCCTTCATCGCCTTCCTCTTACAGAGGCTGCTCAGTAGCTTCATGGAATCCTCCACCTCAAGGGACTTCTCAGGCGGCTTCATGGCCTCCTTCACCCTCACGGGCATCATGTGCCCCGCCGGCCTGCGGGAGGGAGGGTTCCCCGCGTCAGTTCCCGCCCAAAGCTCGCTCTTCCCAGTGTCCAGGGCGGACCCCCTGCTCCAGGAGGACCCCAGCTCTGCCGTGGGCGAGAGGACAGCACCGTCACGTGACAAGTCCTCTGTCACCGAGAAAGCGGGGCTGTCGTTAGTCAATAAGCAAACAGGCCCGGCTGGTGTGGCTCAGGGGTTGAGTGTCAACCTGTGAACCAGGAGGTCAGGGCACAGGCCTGGGTTTTGGGCTCAATCCTCAGTACGGGGCATGCAGGAGGCAGCATATCCATGATTTTCTCTCATCACTGATGTCTCTCCCTCTCTCTCTCTCCCTTCCTCTCTGAAATCAATAAAAATATTAAAAACAAACAAACAGAAAAACAAAAGCAGCCCCTGGGAAAGGCAACCCACCCCCATTCGTGGCCCGGGAGGCGGCAGGAACACGGAAGGCCCCGGTGCTGGCGAGCCCCACAGCGCGCCGCTTCCTGCGCTTGACGGGCACCTTCATCTTCTTTGCCTCCGAGAGGGAGCACAGAAGGCTCATGGCCTCCTCCTCCGTCAGGGACGTCTCGGACGACTTCATGGCGTCCTTCACCTTACGGGACATCTCCTGCCTCTTGGATCTGCGGGAGGGAGGGTTCCCCGCGTCAGGTCCCACCCAAAGCTCGCTCTTCCCAGTGTCCAGGGCGGACCCCCTGCTCCAGGACCCCAGCTCTGCCGTGGGCGAGAGGACAGCACCGTCACGTGACAAGTCATCGAGAAAGTGGGGCTGCCTGTCGTCAAGAAGCAAACAGCCCGGCCAGTGTGGCTCAGGGGTTGAGCGTCAACCTAGGAACCAGGAGGTCACAGTTCGATTCCCGGTCAGGGTGCATGCCGCCTGGGTTGGCTCCATCCCCACTAGGGGGCCGCTGTCCATGATTCTCTCTCATCACTGATGTTTCTCTCTCTCTTCCCCTCTCCCTTCTTCTCTGAAATCAGGGGGAATATATTTTAAAAAAATAAATGAATACATAGAGAAGAGGAGCCTGCTGCACCCCTTGGGTAGTTTAGAGCTGGGCTTCCCGGTCCCTCTGCTGGGACCCTGGGCAGGGACTCCGAGGATGGAGGGGGCCTCCCAGTGGCTTCAGTGAGGATTGAGGGAGGTAACACTTGCAATGCACGTCCCGCTGTGCGCTGTGCCCATGAGCTGTGAGCTCGCAGTGGGTGGTTCATGTGGTTTATTTTCCTTACGAGTGGCCTGGTGCACGATTGTGCACATTGAAAGGAAATTAATTAGAAGAAATATTTTAATATCACTATTTGCCCTTTCTCCATAATAGAAGTGTCAACCAAATTCACGATTGACAATGGCAGATGGAAACACAGGTGCGTGATTTGCGCCAGTGAGAGCTTTATATGTACTGCCCATTTGCGAGACTGAGCCTTTTATATATTTACTAGAGGCCTGGTGCATGAATTCATGCACCAATGGGGTCCCTCGGCCTGGCCTGCAGGATCTGGCCAAAACTGGCTCTCTGACATCCCCCGAGGGGTCTAGGATTGCAAGAGGGTGCAGGCCAGGCCAAGGGATCCCACCAGTATACCATTGGGGCCAGGGAGGGATGAGGGTGATTGGCCAGCCAGGGAGGACTGTAGGAGGGCTCCAGGGTGTGTCCGGCTCATCTTGCTCAGTCCCGATCAGCTGGACCCCAGCAGCAAGCTAACCTACCGGTCGGAGCATCTGTCCCCTGGTGGTCAGTGCATGTCATAGCAACTGGTCGACTGTCTGCCCCTGGTGGTCAGTGCATGTCATAGTGATTGGTTGAGCGGCCTTAGCTTATCATTAGCATGTTACGCTTTGATTGGTTGAATGGACGACCAGTCAACTGGACACTTAGCATATTAGGGTTTTATTATATAGGACTAGAGGCCCAGTGCACAAAAATGTG